ACTGTATTTTTTTTTTAATTGGTTATTCTTCATCTATTGGAAACTATTTTCGGCTTTTTCGTTTTTTTCATTTCCGCCTGTCTTGTGTTTCAATTTCATCAATTTTTTATTCAACAAATGTACAGTAAGCACATAAGGAGAGCGATAACAGCTCTCATACATCCATAAGTCCATCTTCAAATCAACCTCTCACAGATACAAATATCTAGCTGTCATTTATAAATATACATATATCCCAAAAGGAAAAGAATTTATTGTAGGAATTCGGTGCTTTGAAAGGATACTCGTTGGCGAGCAGGAAATGTTTTATCGAGTATAACAGATTAGAGATTAGAATTTCTGTTATAACCGATAAAACTTTTAAGGTGTGGCTAGAAAAGGACCAGAAATTTGGATTATGTCGACGTGTTAACTATATGCATACTATACAACTATATGCAACGATTCAACTTAATTACATTATGTATATATGCTCATCGAAGCCGTCCTGTAAGAATTTTGTGTAAATATGATAAAGCTGTGAAATCCGGAACTATTAATTTTCGAATACATTTGACAGGCCTTGAGCTGTCAAGTCGGATTATTAAGTTACGGAGTTTCAGGATTTAACCCCAGACACAAGAAGTATTTAATAACCATAATATCAAACTAGACTAACTGAAGTTAGAGTTTTTGGACCTTTTGAATCTAAACTAGATGCACTTGAGGTCCATTAGTATTGAGGCACGGTATTTTGTATACAAATATTTCTTGATTTTATCATAGTATTACAACAAAGAAACAACTATATTTATGATTGAGGACCTAAAGTCATCTTGTGAAAGTGACAGTTAATATTTGACTCAAATTACCTTCACTTCACCCGCTTAGCTTTCCTCTCCACCATAACTTCTTACGGCTAAAGAACTTAAAAGCCAAATGTATTAATATATATATATTTTTGTTTTATTCGACTCTTAACTAAATTATGCTAAAACGGCCTGAACCGTCTCGATTTCTTCAGCAACTCAATTTTTTGCTTATCCTCTTCATATTTCTTACGTAGTTCAACAATATTTTGCATTTTGCTTTCACGTATTTGAAATGTATAAAAGTTCTTCAGTTCCTTGGTTTTCTTATCCTTTTCCATTTTACGTTCAATGCGTCCAACAACCGATTCCTTTTGCTCAAAGCCCGCATTGCGTCCATCCTTGCCCACTGTAACCCAGCCATCGGGATCGGCTTCGCTGGTTTTGGCTGCTGCCAGTGCGGCACGCTCCCTCTTATCATATTTAGCCATATAGGCATCGATTTGGCGTTGCGTCTTCTCCGCATCTAATATGTACTTATTGACGTAGTTGTCGTGCCAGAGCTCCATGCCTGTTTTGATCAAACATTCACCACTGCTGTTGAACAAATCGATGCTCTCGATGACCAGAGCTCGGCCAATGCTGGTGCTCTTTTCGAAGACAACGTAGGCCACCTTGAACTTAAAGGGAGCCTCTACATTTGAGAAGGGCACATCCAATCCCTCATACCAGTGCTCTGTCTCGTCCCGTCCCGGTTTCTCGGCAAACAAAACGCTCTCCACCTTGCCTTTGCTCTTGAAAAATGTTTGCAGGCTGGCTTCTGTTACATAGGGCGGAACGTTGAGCAGAAATAATGTGCGACCCTTGGGTTTATTAGGATCCATTAGACGTATGAAATGTTCCCGCATGTAAATGCTGTGACAGTGCTTCGCATCCGGCGTCATACGCAGCGGCACAACTGTGTTGAGGGTATTTATAATATTATACAAATATATATTTAACATTATTCAATTTAAACTTACCTCTATAACCTTCTATTTCAGTCAAGTCTACCATTGTTTTAATTTTAGTTGATATTTAACGTTTAATGTTGCTGTAAACACGTTTTGTTTAAATTCATGAAATATGTTGTTTACAGCTGTTTTAGACAGTGCAGCCAACTTCACGTGAAAACAGCTGTCAGCCCTGTGCACACATTACATTTTCCAAGAAGTGGCAACGCTCTACAAAACTGAGCGCGTAATTTGAAAATCAGACTTAAAGCAATAATATTTAACATAAGTATAAAGTGCTGCAGTTCACAAAATTAACTCCACTTTTACTATTTAATAAAGAATTCAATTTTCTCGCTCTCTCTCTATCTCACTCTTGCTTACAAAACAAATTTAACAAATCACATTAGGTGGCAGAATTTACTCAAATCCAAAGCTAAGCAAAACTTTTGCTCTCATCCAGAATGGCAAATAATTAAACAACCTCAGCAGAAGCTGCAACGGAAGCGGCACAGCCACAGCTAAATTGTTTTCTGTAAACTTTGCACGTATTTTCGTTACGTACAAAAATTTGTTTTCCAATGCTGTCCGGCTTCACCCCATGTGTGTGAGTGACTGTATATGTGTGTGTGTGTGTGCGCTCCACTTGTGTTTATATGTATGCGCCCGTGAAATGGTCCGAAAAACAAAACTGCACACAGGCCACAAATGCAGCAAACCAAACGCTGCCCAATCCCTGCCTCCAAAAGCAGAAGCTATGCTAAGCCACGCCCATTGGCCACACAACTGCGTTGATTTAACCGAACCGAAGAGCGGAAGTTTGTCATGCACGTTTGGTTCGTGTCGTGTCCTGTGTCCTGTGAATAGATGCTAATTAATTGAATGTGCATTTTTTGTTGTTGTTATCCAACAGCAACAACAGCAACAACATCATTATATCTGTTTTAAGCATATTTACGACAATTTTTAACCACATTTGGCATGTAATCTAAAGAGCCATAATCCGTTATATGCTTTGTACTGTTTAAAATCTTTTTCGGACAGCTCATGCATATTTTAGTATTCATTAATCAGAATTCCTTGTACTAATTGCACTGGCAATTGTAGCACTGTTTTGGCCAAAGCACACACACTGATAAACACACACACACACACACACTCACAGGTAATCTACAGACTGACTCTGTCTCGTTGGGGACCACCTGGCTAGCTGGCTGGCTGATTGAATATTGCAATTTGCATGTGGTTTGATTTTGTGCTAGTCTCAAGTGTAATTAAATGTGCAAATGAATATGAACGCATGACAAATGCAATGTGCATATATAATTTAATCTATATAATATATATGCATATATATAATACATAAATACAAATAGATATATTATAAATATTAAAATTGACTGATTAGCTTTAAACATGTACAAAAAAATACTCTCAATAATATTTCGCTCAAGCTTACAAGCCCATTAAAAAGTCGGCATTATAAACAGGATTTCGTTTTTTTTTTGTCTACGTGCGCATAATTTCAAACATTAAAATACGCCGCAATAAAAAAAGAAAAAAAACTGAAAAATAATGTTTTGAATATTTTAAATAGCACATGGCACGTGCTCAACATTTTTTATTGAGGGTTGAGCATTTCATGCTAACAAAAATCCTTGACTAATTAGTGTCTGCCTCGCCGTCGCCTGTCGAATGGGGCCAAAGGGCGGCTCACAAGCTCCGCGCGCTTCCTCCCCCCATACGGCAAAGACCACCCCAAAGTCCGTATTAAAAGCATTTTGATGAACTTTCAAGTATCTCACACATTAAAACAAATGTGCGCATCTTTTCCATGCTCGCTCGGTCAGTGGTTGAGGGCATATTTGTGGTAAACATGTTGAGCATGTGTTCATGCATTTTTTTTTTCTCACTGATTAAAGACAATTGATTTTTTAGGGGTAGGGCTATTTTTTTTTTTTCATTTATTTGGCACTCAATTAATTAAATAAAATGTGTTGTAAATTTTTTTTTTTTATGTTCAGGCTCTCCACTTTCAATAATAATAATAAAAACGATTTTTTTTTTTTTTTAAAGCGTTTAATTGAAAAAAACGTTTACCTTTTTTTTTTTTTTGTTTTGGTCTTTTGTTGGAAAACGCCGAGATTTTTAATGTTTTTTTTTTTCCCATCAAATTTATTGCTTAATCAAATAAATTATTTTTATTTTTTTTTTTTTTATTTGATTTTAATAGATATATATTTCGATTTTTATATTTGTGTTTTTTTTTTTGATTATTAATTATTTTATTTATTTGGATATATTTTTGTTATATTTTTTTTTTTTTTTATTTTATTTATAACTTTTTAATTTTAATAGATATATATTTCGATTTTTATATTTGTGTAATCATTTTTGGTTATTAATTATTTTATTAGATATATTCTTGTTATATTTTTTTAAATTATTAGTTTACATTTTTACATTTTCATTAATTCCCGCCCATAAACCTAAAGTGTAGCATACTCCGACACATTGAACGAGTATACCTCAGTCAGTCATGCAAGACTGCAAAAGTTCTTACGTGTTCTCCGTCGAGCGGGTGTTATAATCAAAAAGAACTTTTCAAGTTGCAAATTCATTAAAAATATTCGCTTAGCTGAAGATTTGCCACAGCAAATTATGAATTAAAATAAATTTTGGAAAGAAAAGCAAGAGATTTACGTGCTAGCAATTAGTGATATAATTCTTCATCTTAAATTCTAATTAAATTTACGATTGTTTTTATTTCAGAGTCTAATGAAATCGTAAAATATTTTAGCCAATAGAGTTTTTCCCTTGCTATTTTTGCTCTCTTTTCGCACTGATTTAAAGCATTTGAAATGTTTCCGGCCATGGCCAAGTCCCCATAACACAACTTTCAATACCTGTGCGAGAGTGCTTACCTGTGTTGCGTTGGTATCGCAGCTTTAGAATTTAGCCAATTGTGCGTAAAAAGTTGCTGCACGCATGATTTATGTGCGTCCATTTGTGGCACGCAATTTGTGCCACAAGCGTATCAACAACACACACACACACACACACACACAGTCTCACACACATCCACACACATGAATATATATTTTCAGTGCATTTTGACCAGGTCAAAAAGCATTTGCTGCCACTTTTTGGAAATCCATGGCTGTGGCCATTTAAGGCGCGTCACGTGCAACAAATTTATTTAGCTCCCACGAATGTTGCCTGTCTCTTGACAACATTTTCAAAAACAAAAATAAATTATTGCAAATTGTGCAAAATTGATTGTTCAATCAGTTTTGATGAAAATGATGAAATATATTATTATTCAACTTGATTGGATCAGATTTCAGTTGATGAACTTTTAATTGATAATTATTTTAGTAGAAGTAGTATTTTTTATGAGTATCGCATAGAGAGGTATTGGTAATTAAAGAGTACTGCATATTCTTTGGGTTTGAGTGTATAATGAAAGGAGAGTGAGATAGATATATGAACAGAATATACATTATTATTAGAGGTCTTAATATTTGCCTGACTGAAAGGAGAAAATTGAAGAGAGAAAATGGTAGTGAGAGGGAAGAAAGGAGAGAGAAAGAGATGAATAAAGAGATATATGAAGACAGGAAGATAGATAGAGGTAGAAGAAGATAAATTGAAAGGAAAAAAAAAAGTAAAAGAGAGAGAACCAAACACAAATAGAGAGAGACAGAAAAAGAGTGAGCAGGAGATATAGAAAGAGAGAGAGATAGAGAGTGAGAGATAGATGGAGAGAGAGATAGAGAGTGAGAGATAGATAGAGACAGGAAAAGGGAGGGTTAAATTGAAGAGAGCTAGAAAGAAATTTAGCTAAGTATAAACAAATATTTAAATATTAATGCGCGTTAAACTTTCGAAATATATTAAGAAAAATCATTATATTTTATAGAGCTGAATTTAATTGCATACGTTCGCACATTTTATTGTAAAATCTTTCGTTCAATAACAACATTTCACGTTTTGCTAAGAATATTCAAAGTTAATTTGGAATGGTTTGAGCTTTTGACCCCACCAACTATTTAATTTTAGCATATGGGGTCTATGGCTGATTCTATTTCCAATAATAACTCACTATAAGTCAGGTCACCAAATAATTTTCGTTCATTGTTATCACTGTTATTCTTTCGCCCCTGCATAATTGCCCCATACGAAAATACATAATTTCGGTCAACTTTATTAGAATACGGCACGCATAAATATAAATCACGTTTGGTCAATTCATTTGGCTCATTTGAATGCCAGCAAATTGCGTATAAACAAAATTACGAATTCGTAACCATTTGAACGTGAGCGGCAGCAAGTCAATGGAAAAAAATAGTCCGACCGCGCAGAGAGCCAGAGAGAGAGAGAGAGAGACAGCAAAAAAAAAATAATCCCATGTTGGTTGAGCCTTATAGCTGCCATAGCTTTGCTGATTAATCGGCCAAACACTTTGACTAGGCGCTGCTGCTTTCATTAATTATGCCCCCTAACGAACAGCACAAAGGAGGAAATAGTACAACAACAGCAACAACAACAACAAAAAAAAACAGCTTTTCGCCTCTCATTAGTTGACATGCCACGCCCCCCCTTCCAATCGAGATGGCGATAAGCAGCCAATAGGGGCCCAGCCGGATATTGTGTGGACAATACTTTTCAAGCTCGGACTTCGTTTGCGAAACTTGCACACAAAAGGTTAAAAACTTTGCTCATTAATTATGGCTGCAAAAAGGAAAATTCGTGAAGAGCGCGCGCAACGTCGTCAACTTTTGTGAATTGGCGATTTGTAATTTATGCTGCATTAATTTTTATTTACCAATTTATTAAGCTACTTGCAGGGGGAGAGGGTGGGCAAAATACTACAATAAGCTACAGATGCCATTAGCGATAGCAAGGGCAATTTTTGCTTTTTTTCGGAATGGGGGCGTGTGGCAGGGCATACGCCCTTTAGTCATTTATCACGGATATAAGCAGCGAGTGCCGTAAAAACCAATTTAAAGTAAATTAGCGCAAGAACCAAGAACTTGGCTGTCAAACTGTGTGTGTGCAGACAGTGCTGCTAAAACCGCAACGGAAACTGCCAACGGGGCGGATGTGTAGAAAGGCATGCGTGCGTATGTCGGTGTGTATATATGTATGTGTGTGTGTGACTTTGCGAAATTTAGAGCTGGGAATTCTAGTTCAATTTGATAATAATAAGTTCAATCGTGCAGTTCCGAGTATTCCGATTTATACGAACATCGCTCACTGCTCAATTACTCACTTGTTCGATAACAATGCTCAGTCAAGTTCATGATCGAAATAGTTCGCTCAGCTGAACAACTTGAACATAACGAATGGTCTTTCTGATTGGAAAACATTATTCATAGCTAATTGAGTGCTTTCCTTCAATTTACGCTTAACATGTGCAGAGTAGTTCATTTTAATGACAATGGAACTTATTCTGAACAATACAACACAGCTCTACTCTGTATGGCTGTGTGTGACTGTGTGTGTGTGTGTGTGTCTGTGTGTTTTTGTGGTTTGGGGCTCAAACGAATGCGACGCGATTTGGGCAACCTTACACATGTTTGTGCCGGCTTTAATTCCCTATCAGATCACGTACGCGGCGCATGTTTAGCAGCGAGTGTAACTTTCTCTCCCCTCCATAGAATGGCGTGCTCATACCCGTTTGCCAGGGCCACCACTTGCCCACCTTTGACCCAGCTGGATTGGCAAAGTCTTGAGGCACACCACAAATAGTGCAGAGATTGCGCCTTGGAATTTATTGCACGTGGTAAGTTGCTCGGATGGGTTCAGTTATTCAGTTTCAGAGCTTGCCTTTGCTGCACGGACTGCAGATTAGACGTCCTGATAGACACAAAATGGTTTCCTTTCTTCCTTTTCCTCCCTTTTTTTTCTTTTTTGGTATTCTCTCTGGTACTTTCTTTTTTTTTTTTGGTCCTCCAGTTAAACTTTAGACATGGACAAAAATTTATTGCTGCCTAACTGCAAGGATTTCGCTTGCGTTTTGTTTGAATGAAGTTGCCTACTTTGAGGCGTCGTAACTTGATCTAAATGGGGTTGCCGGGCTCACCAGCTCGAAGTTTGTGTTTTGTGGCTGGCAAATGCCCGAGAGCGATTTGAAAATTCGCCCAAGTTTTGACTGATGAATGGAATGAAACAGTTAGTAGGGGAGAGAGAGAAGGGAGAAGGTGGAAGGCGACCAATTTGTTTAGATAGTTGATCAGAAGATTAATTTGTTTGCCGACGGTGTTAGAGGCATGTCAAGGGATTAACGGGGATTATATGGAAAATGCTTGAAGGGAAAGCAATTAAAAGGGCTTTGCAAGCAGTGACAAAGACCTTTTGCTTTCTGTATATGCATATACATATGCACCTAACTTACTACAGAAAGCTATTAACATCTATGAATTTTTAACTCCATAAATGAAAAATGTCGCCAAGTGAATTGCCAAGCGTTGAATTCAAACACAAAACTAAAACAATTGACAAAATTCAAGTGGGAATTGGAAAAACTGAGCTGAGCTAACTTGAGCTGAGCTGGGCGAAACTTGAAGCTCTGCGGAGGAATACTTGAGCACCAAGAGGCGACAGCGACAGCAACAGCCACAGCCACAGCCACAGCAAATTCTTGGGCCAAGTCGCAAAATGTTTTGGTTGAGGGTGGCAAAATCTTTTTAAAACAAATTTCTGTTCATGCTTCATTTCGTTGACTTTAAATTTCACTGCTGTGGCTTAACTTTATGTGATGTTTGGAGCAAGATTAACGCCGACCGAGGCGAATGGCCCCAAGCCATGGCGACATGCTAGCTAGCTAGCTAGGACCTTCCCTGGACCTTCTTCATTGACGTGACATTGTGCGTGTTAGGTATAATCTACTTTCAAGTAGCCACAAGCAACACCCATGTCCATGTAATCTCTGCTACTATTTGGCCATCATGTGTCTTGCTCCTTGTCAGCAAGGACAGAAAACTGTAATTTTATGCAAAAGCAACAGAAAATGTGCTAGCTGCATGAAAACTCTCAAGATAATGTGCACAACAATTTTTTGGACATTTTCTTTTTGGGGGTTTTCATTTTTATGCATTTCAGAGATTAAGCTGGCAGCAGCAAACAAAAAATATTATGATTCCACACAAAAGTGAAAACTAAAACCAAAGGGAAGAGATAAAGAGAGAGACAGAGAGAGAGAGAGAGAGAGAATTTACAGCAACATTAATCTGCATAAAACATAGAAGCCATAAAGTTAATTAACTATTTAAAGTTCTGTGTTGACAAAATCAACAAGAAACACATAAATCTCTAACTCAAGCCCATCCATTAAGAAAAAAGCCTTTAGAGTTTTACTTTTCATCGATTGCCTATTAAATCAACATTCACTTATTGCCCATCATAAGTTTGGCCCTCAGTTTGTTGGCTATAAAAACCCAAAATGCATTTCGGGAACAGCCTCAGTTGATATTTTGAAAATGCAGTTGACAGTCGTAGTGCTACTTTGTTTTGGTAAGTTGAGAGGGAATAAAGTTCACAACATAATATATATATTGGAAAAGAGGATCTATAGGATATTTAGTTTGATCAGATGATAGTTCCAATTGGAACTAGAGTAAATCAACAAATATCCTTTACAAAATACTTTTGCATTCTGTAAATTGTTGAAGATTGTTTTCTCGAATATCCGGCCGTTCGGCCGTCTGTGCGTTTGAACGCTAACCAGTATGCCGTTATTGCAGATTCGCCTAAAAAAGTGTAAAGATTTCCCCATAAGGTTAAGGTAGGGAATTACAATATCTGGTTTAACAGAAACGATATAGACTTCAAACTCAAGCTGGAATAGTGAATAATGGATTGCAAATTGGAAAAACTATGTCTTCAAAAACATTGGAGCCAGGAAAACAAAGTTGGGCAGGAAAGGCATTAAAATCTCCTTCAAGATTTACTAGTTGTGGAAAATTGTTTTATTTTATTGTAAAATAAAAATATTATTGTGCATCCCGAAATACAATTTTCAATGGGTTTTATTATCCCTGAACCCATTTGAGTTCAGGATATCATAGTTTTATTTTACACTCAAATAAATATATATTTTTTTATTAGAGTTAGAGGGAAGAATTAGAGTTTATATTTATTGATTATTGTTGATTTTCTGTAAAGTGTCGATTGTTAAAATCAGTTTAGATATTTGCAGGCTGATTCCAACATTGAATTCCAGATGTAATGACGCTAGGTGATACAGCCAAGCTTTGGGAAGAGTGAAAATAAATTTTAATAACTTTTAAAAATAATATATAAAAATACATATTATAATATTATGTAATAATACAGAAAGGAATACTTTTAAAGAATATTCTTAAAAGTTAATTCATTTTATAGAATTTGTTTATCATATCTGAATATTAATCATCATTCCGCTCCTGGTCAAATTACTTCTGTCAGTTGATTATTAACCAAATGCTAAGAGCTTTAAAAACCCTCCTTACAGAAAAAGTATTTCTAAAATGAATATTGAATCTTTTGTGATTTAAACGCTTTAGTTCTGTTGCTAAGCGCTCTGGAGGCGCTACCTTGGAGTCCCACTGATCCAGTGCAGCCGTCTGTATATCAACTCCACAAGAATCAGAAGCAACGCAACCTGACCAAAATACAGCTAATGCCACGGAATGCCATCAGCTTCGTGGGACCGAGGCAGGCGACATCTCTGGAAGCGGATGACGAGGGCGATGACTACTACGGCGATGACTACGAGGCTGGCAATGGAAATGCGCCCGTAGAATACACGGAATCTGAGGAGGTCGATGATGATTACGGCTGGCGTTGATTGCAGTTATATATGTGAATATATACATGTGTGTATTTATATGTATATGTGTGTATATGCACTTCAGTAAATATTTATGCGCATACAAATTGGAGCATTTATTTAACTGCAACTTGGCTGGGTAATTAAATTTATTTGGAATTCAACTTGTCGCATTGCTTGGCTGCTGCTTGGCTGCCTGTTGGCTGCTGCGCATTCATTGAAAAATCCGCAACTAATTAGGACACGAAGCGGCAGGAAGTACACGTAGACATAGATGAGAATGTGTCTTCCTGTGCTGTTGTCGCCCCCTCTCTCTCACTCACTCTCTCTCTCTCTCTCTCTCTCACACACTCATTGCCCCACTGTCGCACTGCCTCTGCTCGCTGGCAGGCCAGAGATAAGCAACTCGAGTGTCGTCTGCCGCATTTGCCGGGCCAGACAGAGAGACGGACGGACAGCCAGGCAGACAGGCAGCCAGTAGCATGCAAAAATAAATAGACTCAGACACAAGCAAAGAGACTTTAAAGAGCTGAGAATATACCGTTGAATATACCCACACCTTGCATACGGAAGTCATTATTATTTATAGTATATATTTGCAAACATGATTTACAGTTTTTGCATATAGTATAGCAATAAAACATTTGGCGAATGATTTTTGAGTTTTCGCAACTCTTTAAATCAGAGAATGACTTTTGATAAAATGGAGAAATATTTTCATTAATAAGAATTATATTAATAAATCGCCCGAATACATTTATGATTTTTATACTCATTCACGAAAGTGAATCAGTATATTGGTTTTGTGCAATGTCCGTCTTGCTGTCCGTCCGTCTGTCCGTCTGTCCGTATGAACGCAATCTATTTCGGCGCTATTGAAGCTAGAGACTTGAAATTTGGAACACATACTCGTGTATATCTCCGATTTATAAAGTGTTAAAATTTTCCCGATCCGCCCACTAGGGGCGTGGCAAATCGGAAAATGCATTTTCCGATATACCAGAAATCATGTTTGTTGAAGAGCTAGAAAGCTGAAACTTGGTATGTAGGTCCGCGTTGACCACCCAAGATCACGAGCTATGGCGGATATATCTACGCCCATTGGGGGCGTGGCAAATCGGATAAAACTGTATCTCCTAAAGTTGTAAACCTAGAATGCTGAAATTTTGCACGTCAGCTAATGGTATGATTCTATAAAGTCTGAAGATAAATTATAAGTCTACGCCCGTTGGGGGCGTGGCAAATCGGACCTGAAGATATAGTGATTTTTTAAATTCTCCTATATTTTGGACACTATTGATGGCAGAGACCTCAAATTTTGTATATATACTCGGACTGATCACCCAAGACCAAAAAGTTTTGTCGGATATATGTCCGCCCACAGGGGGCGTGGCAAACCGCAAAAGTTTATATCTCCTAAAGTATAATAGCTAGAAGCTTCAAATTTGGATAGTTGAGTTACTGGTAGCCTCCTCTATCGATTCCCCAAAAATAATTTTTACGCCTCTTTAGGGGCGTGGCATATCGAAAAATACCCTGTAATTTTCACATTTTTTTAGAGTAAGCATTCAAACTTTGCAGTTAGGGTAAGGTTATCTCTTTCTAAAAACTGACCAAAAATGAGGTGTCTACGCCCAGTTGGGGCGTGGCAAATCGGAAAAAGCTGTATATTCTACAGTATTAGAACGAAACTTAACTACTAAATTGTTGATGGGATGTGAATGAGTATTCCGCAGTCGGTAACGCCCGACTGCAACGTTCTTACTTGTTTAAAGATTATAAATATCACTTTAGAAAGTTTAAGTAGTTTAGAATGGCTTTCGATAAAATGGAGAAATATTTTCATTAATAAGAATTATATTAATAAATCGCCCGAATACATTTATTATTTTTTAAAGATTATAAATATCACTTTAGAAACTTTAATTAGTTTATTTATTTTGAATTTATTTAGTTTACTTTTATGTATTTTTATCATATATTTTTATTTATTCGATTATTGCTTATTGAAAAACGGATAAGCACACTTTCTCCTCCTGCGTTGTTAGTTTATATATTTCTCTACTTCTCTTGTATAAATCCCTGTTCTTCTTTTACTGTCGCTCGTAGCTTTTCGTATCTTACTTTCATGTAGAAATTCATATGGAAAGTGAGAGGCAGAAGAATAAATGAGAGAAAAACGTAGATAAAATAATAGTAATGAGCGGCTTCTAATTCTCTATACAAGAGCTCTATATAATATATGAATACATAAGAGCTGTATATAATGTATATTAAATAAGTGTCAACCTGAGATAGACTTGACGAAAGTGAATGAGCAGGAGAGAAGAAACGAAAGACAGAGACTAAGTGAGAAAGAGAGAGTCAATGAGCGTGAAAGAGAGAGAGAGAGAACGAAAGATCATGGTTTGTTTGTTGCGTTTTGTATCAAATCAAATTGTGTTATTTAAATAAAAACTACAGTGAAAATCGCTGTAGATGCCTGCAAAAATACATATTCAATGCTGATTTCTCTTAACTTTCTCAAAGGTAGAGAAATATAACTCAGTGACCCGAAGGATATATCGCATAAAGATCAGCTAATGTAATTTAATGAATACCAATATATATACATATCTGTATATTTGCCATTTGGCTGGCGATATTAGCATAATTAGCAAATTATAGTATATCAAATTGCAGCTGTGGTTATAGACATAATTAACAACCTGGCCTTAATTTAATATAATTTGTGCAGTTTATATATGCATACTCGATTCATCTCGGACATTTTTGGAGCATGTCTGGCAAGAACATGATGCCAACTTTCACTGACTGAATTGTTTAATATTTAAGCGGAACGACGACACAACCGCAGGCAATTAGAGCTGTCAACGCGGTCAAATGGACTGACACATTGTTGTTGCGCCCATTTAGAGGGTCGTTGAGATTGAAGCGACGATGCGATACTTGCGAAAAGTATTGATTAGTATTTGAATAATAGATGCACTTGAGAGGGTGGAGTGGGCGGCAAGTTGATGGGGCGTTTCGCTGGATACCCATTGATAAACTGTGCAGCGAATAAATGAAGCGCTTTGTTTGTTTATCGCACAGTATCTCAAAGAAGCATCCTCCAGTTCAGGGCGGGGCTCAGTTCAGTGGAGGCATCGCCGGATAAACCACTCGAATAATGCAGTCGAGCGTAAACTGTTGATGCCCTCAACACCAAGCCCCTCCTCGCCCTCCCTCTCTCTCTCTCTCTCTCTCTCACACTCACTCTCTGCATAGCTGTGCTCGACTCGGTCCTTGCACAAAATTTACATTTAATGAGGTTTAAGTAAGTGTAAGGTGCGAAAAAGTCATTCGGAACGCTTCGCCAGGCTTTCAGCTTTAAGTGATATGCCCTGCTGGGCGTCGACAAATTGATATTAAATGCAAATTTTATGCCCAGTGTTGCGAAACGTATTCGAACTATTGCTGCTCTCATATTGAATTCATTTGTTCATTGATTTAAGGGGAATGCGTTGAAGAGCTCTCTGAAAAACTCGACGACGGCACTCGAAGCACACTGTTCTTGATCTCTCCTATTACCGTTGCTTGAACCTAAAATTAAGGGATCCGAGCAAATAGAAAGCTGTGATCCCAATTCTACGTATGTATATGTTTTAACTAAGTTGTATGATTAGTATTATCAATAATAGTTATCTACAATAAATTAAAAATATTTACCAAAATTGAATTTTTATTGTTTATTATTTATTAATTTTAAATACACAAAACTT